AAGAGGCATCTGAGGCAGATGCTGAACCACCTAGGCACCTCAGCCAGCTCCTTTCAATGTGGAAGAGTAACAACTCTACCACAAGACAAAAACATGTGGTAACTGTGGTGAACAAATTCTGTCCTTAAAGAAAAACATTAAACATTTTCTAAATTCTCTCAAAGGCACATTATCAATGATCCTGTTTAATAACCAGGATGAGGGGTGGAGGGGGCTGTCTGCTGCCCTTGGGCCTAAAAGCTGCTGGGGCTGGCCGTGCTCCGCACTCTAACCTAATTAAATCGCGCTCATGCTGCCGTGTGCTAATCAGCTGATGCGCTGCAGCCTCTATTTAACTCGCGCTCGCTCCGCAGCATGTGGACCCGGTTCTACGTCACGTACCATGGCGTCGCGCGAGAAAAGTCAGCCGCACAGCAAACCGTTCAAGCTGAGGAAGAGTTTAGGTAACCGGCACCGCCGCGAGCAGCAGCAACACTGATGTCCAGCAAACTCACTGTCTCTCTTCTGTCCACAGCAACGAGGAAACGGGAAGTGGCGGGCATCAGGGCCAAGTTCCCCAACAAGATCCCGGTAAGCGCGCGGTGGGGCTCACGCGGAGTCCGAGAAGGTGTGTTTTATGTTCTCACCCACTCACTGCGCCTTGCAGGTCATCATCGAGAGGTACGACAAGGAAAAGTATCTGCCTCCGCTGGACAAAACCAAGTTCCTGGTTCCGCAGGAGCTCACCATGACGCAGTTCCTCACCATCATCAGGTACCGGTACCTGCAAGCTTCACTGAACACATGCTGGAGTCCTTTAACACGAACTCGGAGCTCAACAATACTCACGCCTCAGTTCTACACTGAGGAGAAATGTTTTCCTGGTGAATTCATCAGTTAATGTTTATTTTAAAAATAAGAAGCTTTTATTCCAGAGTCTTACGCCCCCCCCTCACTTGGAGCACAGGTGTTAAACTCCCGGCCTCGAGGGCCGGTGTCCTGCAGGTTTTAGATGTCCTTGATCCATCACAGCTGATTTAATGGCTAAATGACCTCCTCAACATGTCCTGAAGTTCTCCACAGGCCTGGTAATGAACTCATCATGTGATTCAGGTGTGAAGCCCCAGGGTGATCTAAAACCTGCAGGACACCGGCCCTCGAGGCCTGGAGTTGGACACCCCTGACTTGGAGTCTTTTGCTCTTTCACTTTTATTGACCCCTTTGTTGTTGTTTATGCTTACACAGCAGGATCTGTGACTGCCATGATGGCCTGAGGAAGCTGCTGTGTAAACATGAAGTGACAGGATGTGTCTTAACAGTTAATCCATGTCTGTCAAACCTTAAACCTCTGTAATGTCTGCGAGAGTCTTTATCACTCAGTGATCTGACTCGAGCAGAGAGCGCACAGGCTGGCTGCTCAAGCCAATCGAGGAGCTCGGTCTACTCACAGAACCTGAGTTGCGTCCAGTAACGGTTTGTCATTTGGAACATTGAGTTTTCAGTAGTTGTAATCATGTGAACATAAAGACACGTACTGTAGTTTTATTTTAAGAACACAAAGGTCTGGTGTCTCAGCCTCGCTGCCCCACAATCGTACCCACTGACTGTAACGTCTGGGTGTCGATAAAGTTCTGTGGGAGTTTCCTGAGAAAGCTGCACACCAGCTCCACATGCTCAGGTTCACTGATGGGCTGATTTGGCTTTAGTGACTTGTCCTGATTGTCAGAAATGAGGCCTGGATATCAGACCTCAAGGGAAAGAGCAATTGGCTCATCTAACGGTTGGATGATTCCCCCTCAGAGTATGAATATAGACGCTGAAGCAAATCTTGTTGTGAGTGAATGAGTTTTGGGCTCTACTTTGAGTCTGATCAGAGGGTCAAAGTTGTGGCTTTAGGGGCAAATGTTTTGGATCGTCTCATGTTTTGTGGTACATGATCGTATCTTTACTGAAGCCGGTGCTCCAGCTGCAGTCGCTCATCATACACTTGCTCCTCAGTCTGACAAATGGAGCTTTTGCATAATCTTGGCTCTGACAGATGAATACCTGTACAGGCTTCACTTTAAACTCTGCCCTCGCTCAGTTTCCATGTGCTCCTCCCCCCAGTGTGAGCACGAATGCTTGAAATGCTCGAATCATAGCTGGAATCTGCACATGGCTGACGCGTGCTCGCCTCACTGAACAGCTGTGCTGGCGTCACTGTTGTGCTGATGCAGCTAACAGCCTGCAGGCTGACTCTGATTAATGGTGGCTCCTTCTGGCTCCTCCCCTCAGGAACCGCATGGCGCTGCTGCCCAGCCAGGCCTTCTACCTGCTCATCAACAACAGAGGGCTGGCCAGCATGTCGCTCACCATGGCTCAGGTGTACAAACAGCACCAGGATGAGGACGGCTTCCTCTACATGACCTACGCCTCGCAGGAGATGTTCGGACGATGAAGCTCGTCCTGCTTCAGGTTTTATTCCCGTTACAGGCTGCTCGCCTCAGCTGCTGTAAATACAAAAGAGTGTATATATTGTAATTTTTGTTCTACACGCTGATTGGACGAGATGGATTTTAATCGTGTTCATCCAATAAATATTTTGATGTTAAGGAATGCTGCTGGTTCATGATTTCTGCTTGTGGATGGAGACACTTGGACTCAGCACTACATGAATCGTTTCACCTTCTCACTGTGAATATTTGATACTTGAAGCTTTATAAAGAACTGTTTGTTTCCTGTTAACAGGAACTGGTTATAATTTCAGTCTTAGAGCTTGATGTGGTTCCACTGTGTCCAGCAGAGGGCAGCATCACTGTACCAGGACAGCAACATGACGGACAGGAGCTCTGCAGAAGATCAGAAACATAAGTGCGGACTGTTAATGAGAAATGATGAAGTAGAGCAGCATATAAACTGAACTGCAGCTGTAACCGATGTGATGATTCTGGTGGCTGACCTTGGCTCAAATAAGAGGGTGAAAGGTCGCAAACAGAAGTCATCTGTATGTTTAAGGCATGGCTATTCAACTACGACGTTAGTTGGGCCAGATTTTCAAACCGAGGAATTTATCTGGGATGTATGTATATGAAGCCAGTAAGCAGCAGATCAATTTCAAACCCACACAACTGTACTGGAAAACAAGTAATTTTTTTTCATGCCTTTTCCCTTATAAATCTGGTGACCTCACAAATGCACACCAAAAGGTCCATTTAAACAAAAGGAGCTATAACTAAACTATTTTTTGCATGTTTGAAATAATAACCAACATTTTGATAATTCCCTTTAAAATTAAAATATTTTGCTGACCACTCACTGTTCCTGCCATGGATACAGACACGCTTCATATCCAGACCATTTTCCTGAAGAGCTTAAATCTTAAACATTATTTGGCCAGCTGTGTGTCCCTCTAACGGTAGTAAGCCGAGCAATTTCCCATCCAAAAAACGGACACATACGCACAACTGTGCATTATCAGTTCTGTCTGTGATCTCCTGCTATAGACTTTACATCAGTTTTCTTCAGGTCATCTAACAGCATTTCAAACTCGTCTGACGCCAGAACTTCAACTCTACGAATATTTGAACTGTCCTACAGGGGTACGTTTTTAATAGCAGATGTCACACTCACTTTTCACCGCATCCACCACGGCCAGCATGCAGTATTTCACTGTTTCAGAATCTGTGAAAGGCCTTTTCTTCTTCGCCAAGAAGCAAACACGAAGGGAAGATGCTGCCGTGCTGCTGTACAGCCCAAGAGAGATGCTGCTGCTCTCTCTTGGGCTGTACAGGACCCTCACCATGGTGTATACAGTGTTATATTAATATAACACTGTCTGCAAATATGATTTAAAAAAAATCCACAATCTCAGGTTCCTCCTCCGTCAGAGAGGTGACATTCAACGTCCCACTTGTCAGTCTGGACAGCCCCGACCACCACCCGACACACAATAACGTCATGAAAGTACATTTTAAAAAAGGGCAATGCAAACATGGCCAATAACTGTCATTATTGGCCATGTTTGCATAGCCAACCATCATTCTGATGATCTGCAAAATGATTTGATCTAAAGTATGATTAAAGTTCAGCCTGATTAATATAAACGTCACTGACAATTACTAATATATTGGAAAACCAAAATCCTTCCCACTCAGTTGATGTCTTTCTGTCCAACAGCTCCTTTTCTTGACTTGTAAGAGTTTGATGTAATG